TTGATTGACAAAAATATTTCATCCTACTTTAATTTGCTCTGTGGTTAGCATGAGATAGTATGTGTGAAAGTAAAACATACTGAGGCAAGTGGATGCTATTATATTTCTTTGGGGGTGACAGTCCCAGTAGTGGGGGGGGGAATAGGTCAACCTCTACAGATGTTGGGTAAGAGGTGTGCCATGGAAAAGGCAGAGTAGAAGCAATGCCCAGTAATCCTCAGAAGGAGCAACAGAGAAGGAAGAAGAACTCTATTATGGGGGCAATCGAGGATGCTTTTCTACTACAGATTACAAAACTGCCACAAAAGCAAAATATGGTACATAGTGATGAAGGAATTTCAACTTCCAGAACTTCTGCTAAAATATCACTGGCCCTTTTTCTCTGTCTCTCTGTGTCTCCTGTTCTCATTCCTTCATTATTTTCCTCCAATCAGCTCAATCGTTCATTGAGCATCTTCTATATCTAGACAATTGGCTGTATGGTGGAAACAAGAAGATATGTATTGTGATAAGCTCTTCAGAGAGTTTGCAGGCAGGTGGTAGGAGACAGAAGAGTGAAAAAATTATAGGGATAAAATATGAGAAGCATTAAAATAGAAGTTTGCACAAAGTATTGTGGCATTTTCATCTCTCAGATGGTAGAGAAAGCAATGAATAAAATGAGTCAATGAAATAAAGCTAATGGAACTGTTCAGGAAAGATGACCATGTCATCTGGGGTTTCATAATAATATATAAGAAAAAGATTGCCATACATGTTCAATAGAAAATGTAGGAAAAGCAATTTCAAAAAAATTTAAGGGAAGATATGAATTATACTTGAATAAAAACCTCAAAGAAATATCATTCATGAGAGATTAAATTTTAAATTTTATCTAAGAGTAATGAGTCCCAATAGGAAGACGTTATTGAACCTTNTTCAGAGAGTTTGCAGGCAGGTGGTAGGAGACAGAAGAGTGAAAAAATTATAGGGATAAAATATGAGAAGCATTAAAATAGAAGTTTGCACAAAGTATTGTGGCATTTTCATCTCTCAGATGGTAGAGAAAGCAATGAATAAAATGAGTCAATGAAATAAAGCTAATGGAACTATTCAGGAAAGATGACCATGTCATCTGGGGTTTCATAATAATATATAAGAAAAAGATTGCCATACATGTTCAATAGAAAATGTAGGAAAAGCAATTTCAAAAAAATTTAAGGGAAGATATGAATTATACTTGAATAAAAACCTCAAAGAAATATCATTCATGAGAGATTAAATTTTAAATTTTATCTAAGAGTAATGAGTCCCAATAGGAAGACGTTATTGAACCTTTCTATGTCGGTTCATCTGTAAAGTGGGTATTATGATGGCAACTACTGCATCCCTACTTTACATGTGTCCAGCATATAGTAAGAATTCTATTAATGTTAGTTTTTATGATCATCTACAGGAAATAATGAGACCTCACCAAGAACTCTGGGGAGCGCAGATTTGTTTCTTTAATAGAAGGATGTCCAAATACCAATAAAAAAGAATATTAATAAAGCCAATAAGAATATGTGTGTATGTGTGCTTGTGTATGTTTGAAGCCAGAAAATAAAGAATAGATAGGAACATTGCTGGTGAAAATAATGTAATATTAACAGACAAAAAGGAGAGCTACTCAATTTAAATGTTTTTTCTATTGGTGACAAATCTTATCAAGCTAAAAGGTGTAAATTAATTATTGTTAAGAAGAAAGTCCCAGACTAGGGCAAGACTAGCGGAGAGCATCTAACTGATTAAATAGTTCAAGACTGTAAACTCAGAATAATAATACAAAATAGGGAGATAGATAAATAAATGGAGTAAGTGTATGTGGGTATGTGATCTGGCTTAATAGTATTTCATGTAAAAATTACCCGTGCCAAAAATAATTAAAAAGTAAAAATAAAAATAAATAAATAAATAAACTACCAGTGCCTTCGGCATCGTAAGTTTTCAATAAATTTTATGTAAATTTCATTGAAGGCATAAAGCTTATAATTCACCACAAACTTATGAGTCAGTGGTGTAATGTGATTTCCAGAAAATCTTAATGCAGATCTGAGTTGAACCGATAGAAGTGTGCACAGAGACCGGAGCTAGTAATCGCATTTGTGTGTTTGCCATTCAGACTAAACCAAGATCCTGATCTAGTTCTGGACACAAACTTTAATAGGAACATCAACAAAGTTCATCACCAGGATGGTGAAAATGGTTAGCCTCTAGAAAATCATATCCTAAGAAAAAGTCAAAGGAACCGAGGCTTCCCTGTGAGCTATTCTCATATATTAGAAGGCTCCCTCCCGTGAGAGAGGGATGAACTTAGTATTGCTCCAGAGGTCAGAACTAAGACCAGTGGAAACTCCCAACACTCAAGTTAAGGAAGGACATTGTAACCATTATTATCTGCCAATGGAATGGGCAGTCTCCCAAATACAAAGTGGAGCATTTTATGTAGTTGGCAAAGGATTCATTCAAAGCCTGGATTATCATCTGTTGAAGACACTTGCTTTGTGAAAAACCAAGATCTGTAAAGTCACTGCCAACTCCAGAATTTTATTTTTCTACTTGAAGTGCTGAATTAGAATTTTGTTAGACTATGATATCTGTGGTTTCTATATGAGATATTTTAATACTTTCTTCATTACTATTGTTAAAAAACAAAATTTCAGTAAATTTAGTTTAAAGATCTAATTGGCTTTTATTAGTGATTTGTGAATCAGGCAGCATTTCATCTAAAAAAATAGATAAGTGGTCTGCTGGGCATGGCAGAACAGTTGGTTTTTATAACGTAGCTAGAGCAGGAACAAGGAAACAGAATAATACAAAAAGAGGATTTGTTAACATCAAGCTACTTCAGGTTACTTTTCTTGTAAGGGTTAAAGCAGAGGCGACTACCTTAACAGGCTGGTTCGGGTTGACAGGGCCCCTTCTGATTGGTTGCTGTGAATCTCCTCTTTTGAGGAAAAATTGGTCTGTTCGGGGATTTTCCTGCTTCTTTAAGGTTTGTTTCATTGCATGGCACTTTGCATAATTGACTCCCCTCCATTTTGGTTTCGTCTGTTGGGGCCTACTGCAGGATCTCAGTCCAAAACAATGGCCTCTCTAAGTTTTATTTAACAGTATAAATGATATATAAACAAATGTCATTAATTTTAAAATTTTTCTAAGTCACAATCTACTTATTTCAAATAATATCCAGTATTACAAAGTTCCAATAAAAGGAATAACTATGGAAAGTTTCTGAGCATTGTAATATGACTTGAACTATGTGTGAGTAGTATGTATATGTTACTGCCATGTATCAACCTAATAAGTGAATTTTTTTACTTTTAAGAAATATTAAAGAATGTATGCATAGCTCCTTTTTTTAATACTATAATTTCAGTGCTTGAAGATCCAAATTTCATTGGACAGTATTATAAGTGGAAGAAAATGGATCTACAATATCCTAAAGAATGGAATTTAAAGTAAGAAATTTTAAGTGGCTTGGATGCATTATCCCATTAACTTGAAATATCTATTATTCCACTTTCTACTATCTAACTGAACCCTAAGAAGAAACCCTTGGAAATAACAACTTCTGCCCTTTTCTAAGCTGAATAACAAGAATAAGCAAGTATCACTTCTTCCTTTCATATGAATCCAGGTGAGAAATATCTTTGCTACCTATTGGCTGCCAAAGATGGAGACAGGACATGAGCCGCAGTGAAGAATCTCTTAATATCCTCCCCATTAATTCTCTTACTCCCAGTCCCATCATCCTTATCAACATATAACTTAGAAATAGTAAAAAAAAAAAAAAAAAAAAAAAAAAAAAAATTGGTCATTTCAAAGAGGGCTTCTGGTACATAAAACCAAGAGATCTTAACACTGTGACCAAAGATTGACATTATCCATAGGATCCATAGTCACTTATAAGTGCTGTGTTTTCTCGAGGAGATGTAAGATAAAAGAAATAGTCAACAAACAAAACAAAAAGCAAAACACTTTATATATCAACAGTTAGGTTTTCATCCTTCTCATAGCACAAAGTATCTTTCCTGCTTCCACTGATTTCTCACTCAGGAACCAAATGTATTAAGTTCAGTGAAGAATTTTGTAGTGGGAGACAAACATAAATTGTTACAATATCTTTAGAAATCATTGTCTCTTATACCACATTAGGGAAAGGACCTTAGTCTCATCTTTGATCTCTTGACTCCTGAGGGTAGTTTTTCTGATCCATCATGCTGCAGCAAAGATTCCATTTCCGTTCTGTGATGTTGGCTATGTTGCAGTCATTGTTTATTCTGGTGTGCTTATTTCAAGGTGCTCCCTGAAGGTACCACCATAAAGCTACCAAAATGCATTTACTTCATTTAGCTCATTGTTTAGCTCTTTAACTTACTGTTAGCAGTGTGCCCTCTCTTCTAGATGGAAATACAGGACTAATAGAAATAATGTGCTGTATTTTGAATTTGTGTTGAAATGGAGGTTCTTAAATATACTTCCCTACTCTTTAAAATCATAGTTCAGATTGGGTTTTTCAGTTAAATTTTATTTTTTCAGTTGGGAAAAAAAAGCTTTTTCTGCAAAAATTTTCCTTCAAGCCAAAGTGGATAAAATTTTTTGCATTAGGTACTTCTCTGTTTTCAGGATAAATCATAGGCAGTAAAAACGTTTCTATTAAGCAAAATTTGAAGGAGTACAAGCATATTTTTTCCTTGAAGGCATGTTTCAAGTTTCTCTTCGAGTCGAAGAAACCTACTTAGAATATAAGATTAATTTTGCTTTGACATGACTTCCTGTTTTATTTCCTTTAACAGTTCTGTTTTGTTTTATTTGTTTGATCATTGATTCATTATGTAATACTAGCCTCCCACAGAACCCAAAAATTTAGAAAAAGTAGGACCATGTCATTTTCAACTTATCCATCCACTTCTACATATGGCTAAAATAATTGTGAGCTGTTTGAGTGCTAGCACATTTTTCCAAATACATTATTTTGAAGTTATAGGGTCAAATCATTATGTGCATAGTGACCCTGTCAGAATAAAACTCTCACACCTTATGCCATCTGGTGGTTGATGAGAATATATTTAGGTCAGATGATATTTGCTTCTTGTAAATTTTGGAGTTGATTAATCAAAAGAAAAGCACTAAAAGTTTTTAAAAGATATTACATTTATCTTCATTTTATTGCAGTGTAAATATTTGAGTATGCAAATGTATAGAGGTATAGTCAACATCTAAAGAATGATGAAATTCAACTTCTTTTTAGAGAATTATCGAAAGTCTCATGTTCATCAAAATACATGATACGTGATAAAATGGTCAATTCATAGAGAGTCAAGTAGAAAATGGGGATCTGTGCAAGTGATTGGTCTGTACGTGCATGCCATGCAATACCATTGTACATCTCTGTTTTTAATATTTGAAAATGCTTTCCTTGCACTGAAATTTCCTATTTAAGAAAGAAAGAAAGAAAGAGTGCAAATTGAGAACCTTTCATTTGCATAGCACTAAGGAGAAAGAGACCTGTCTCTCTAGTTACTCTCTTATCCTCCACCTACTGTCCTTCCCTCCCCTCATCAATCAATACCCAATTCTTAAGCCACACTAAATTCTTTGTTCTCATTATTATTGGGGCACATAAGATCTCTTCACCACTTTGTGCGTTCTGTCTGGGTCTTTCTGAGCAGGGTCTTTGCTGGTGGTCTAGAGTTAGGATTTGGCCTGAGTTAAAATGCAGAATATGGAGTGCGTAAGTGCAGGGTCACTGGAGCCAAACTGCCTGCATGTGAATTCTGGCTCTGCCAGTTACCAGCTCTGTGACCTGGAACAAGTTAGCTGATTTCCCTGTGTCTCAGTTCTATCTGTTAAATGGCAGTATCTCCCAAGGGGGTTGTGAGGATTAAATAAATTAATATGTCATACATAAAATAATTCAAACAATATCTGGCACATGGTAAGTACTCATAAGGTTCACTATTGTTCATGCTTTTTAAATTCACAGATGGAAAATCTTTCTTTGGAAGCAGCAAGGGGAAAAGCATGGGCTTTAGTGTCAGATCTTGGGGAAATTCTTACCCACTCTGAGCTGTTTTTCTTATCTGTTAAGTGGAGATAACATTACCTACCTTGCAAAGTTGTTTTGCATTCGGCCTCTTGAATGAATCATAGAGACAAAATAGTGTGGTGTGGCACATGGACATTAGATAAATATTAGTTCCTGAGGAAAGATGAAAGCTCATGCCTCCCAATTTTTCAGAGAATAAAAATAATTTGCCAGAAATATGTGAAAATTGTCAAGTTTCCTCAGGTTGGAAAACAACATCAATCGTGAGGCATTTATTTTAGTCCCATTATGCCTGTGGTTCTTCTTCCTTTTCCACTCTACCTCTATCATCTCTTCTGCCTGGAAAAGTGCTTCACAGGATGACATGAAGATCCAGCTCAAACTTCTCTTTGTGAAACAGTACCTGACATGCATGCTCAGGCGTTCCTAGTTCCTCATCTTCTCTTTCCATAGTACTCTGTTCCTATCTCTTTCAGCATCTGTGCTGTGAAAATTCATCTGTCCATGTAGAGTGACCTGGGCGAGGACATTAGTGTAGCTTTGCATTCTCTGTACTTAGCATGGTGCCTGGCAAAGAGGAGGCAGTTTCCATAGTACTCTGTTCCTATCTCTTTCAGCATCTGTGCTGTGAAAATTCATCTGTCCATGCAGAGTGACCTGGGCGAGGACATTAGTGTAGCTTTGCATTCTCTGTACTTAGCATGGTGCCTGGCAAAGAGGAGGCAGTCAATCAATGTTTGTTAGAACGTGTATACTGTTTCCCCATTTAAGATTAGGATTAAATGTGAAGGCAGTTAATTTTAGAAAAAATAAAATTTAGGTACAGACTTCTGTTAAGGTCCATTGTAATGTAGAGATTATGGTTTTAATGGGAAGTTCTAGGGTGTAGTAATAAACAGTGATTGAAAACTGGAAATATAAATGTCATGTGAATATTTTATGCAAATTCTTGAATTGTATACATTTTAGTTAGTATTAATAGTAACCTATTGTCATTATAAGCAACTCATAAATATTCATTAATCAGTCACTTTGGTGTTCATTTCTAAGGCCATTTTTGTTTCCTATTGCCTTAACTGTCTTTTGGCTATTTATACAAATGCTTTATTTCTACCAAGACATGGGAAAGAATATGAATCTAGGATATACTCAGTAGTTTATATTTATTTTCTCTAGAGAAATAGTGAAAGATAAAATCAGAAAACAATGAAAGCTGTTCTTTTGAGTGTTCTTGCTTACGCACATGTAAAACCATCTTTGTGTCGTACTCTATAGCTAATACTGGGAAAAATCTACACCGGTAGTCTAAGCTTTGGCAGCCAGCAAGTTACCTAAAAAGTTATCAGTTCTGGTGGAGTTTTACATTCCATGTAGCTTTAGAAAAGAATATTGTTCTTGTTTTTATATAGGAGGTATAGAGGGAACAGGATCTGACATGGCTAACTACCTTCTGTGCACCAGGAATTACCCCTGCCTTTCCTAATGTAATGCTGGCCACCCCATGGAGTTGACAGCCACACCTCTAAGTGCAACCCTCAATAATATTCATCAGCCTCCTTCAAATCCACAACAAATCAACCACCGCTCCAGGTCAGACCAGCTGGCTTGCCCAGCTGACACAGCTTCAAGAAAAGGTTCCTAGCCTCCTTTTCAACTTGATTGCCACCCCTAAGACCCCTCCCCCCACAGAAATTCTGTAAAAGTGAAAGTACATACTATTCCCAGTTTACCAATGAGGGAAACAGAGGCACAAAGAGATTTTCTAAATTGCCTGAGGTTGTTGGTAAACCTGAATTTTACTGGAAAATTAAAGCTAAAGTATTTCCTACTTGCCCACTAATAGGTGTACTTATCAAAAGCTTAAATTTTTCAAGTAAGTGTAAAAATATTGCTTACCCAATTGCAAGCACAAATCAAGTCTACATTTTGTTGGGGGAAAAATCCCATCCAACGCTATTACTAAACTTAATGTTAGTTCTATACATAGATAAAAAACTAACATCTGTGCTATGTCAAATACCATTTGATAAAACATTCTTATATTTATAAAATGTGCTCTGGACTTACTTGTCCTTTTAAATTAAGGAGTTAATACATATTACTTCTAGGTTTTTTAGTCTCTGATTTTGTGAGTATGTGTTTTAACTGACAAAAAGTCTTTCTTTTAGTGTACCTATGTTTGATTCCCTTTTCTCCAGTTATATGAAAAACATTTACACTGAGCACATTCATTTAATGTATGATTGTGCTATCCTTTCGGGGTTATTGAATTTAAACATTGTTTTTATTGCTTTACTTAATTTATATATTTAATGCATTTTCAAAAAGGAATATTAGCTTTTTTATTCTCCAAGATTAAATCTTGCATGCCATCTTGTGGTTTAAGAGGGAATTGGCATTAGAATCGGACATGGCCTGTATCTTAAAATATAGACAAGGAGAAAAAATAATAGACAAGGGGAAAATTCCTTTTAAAAAATAATTTCTGCTGAGCAACTACTTAGCCTCTGCTTGGAAGTTTTTAGAGACAGGGAGCTCAGTACATCAAGAAGCATTCAAATAGCTCTAATCCTCCTCCCTTCTAGCTTTCATATGATACCTCATGACCTTCAACCATTCCAGATTCATTCATTTGACAGATTTCTATTGAACTCCTACTATTATGTTTGTTTGCAAAACTGCCCAGAAAATAAGAAATTATCTCCATGTTATAAAGAAGGTGTGCAGAAAAAGTTTTAAGAAATAAAAAATTTATCTAAGGCTGTACACTAAATAACAGAGCCAGAATTCCAACCAAGTCCTGCCAGATGCCACAGCCCATGCTTTTTCCATTAGATCAAGCTGCCTTCAGTATGCCAGGCACCGTGTCAGACACTGAGGACCTGGGGGTGGCTTTGGGGATGAGTAGAATGCGTGTTTTAAAGGATGACGTTACAGCAGAAAAGAAAGTATTGCCTTTTATCCTTAGAAACAACACAAATGAGGCTATTTCTGGTTTGGGGAATTGCCCATTAAGTCTCATAAAATAGCTATCATGTCTTTCTCCCATCTGCTTTTAAATCTTCTCTTTTTTAAGCACACTCTTAAATCTTATCTTTTTCAGCATAAACACACCAGTTCTTTTTACTGATTTTTATGAATTGTATACTTTTTATTGTTCCCCTCTTATGGATACAATTCATTTCATTAATTTCTCTCTCAGACCGTAGCCCCAAAACTTTACCATAGACTTCTGGTAGCAGCACAGAATCTGGTGGGACCTCCTCTGTTATAAACACCGTAGCTTAAGTTTGCTTCCCTCCTTCCTCTCTCCCGAAGAAGAGGAGTTTTACTATGAATCAAAAACATATTTGGGGCTTTTTGTTCCCCTCAGAGAACTGCTTCTTCGGCTCTGCTCCCACATTTTGAGGTCTCCCGAAGAAGAGGAGTTTTACTATGAATCAAAAACATATTTGGGGCTTTTTGTTCCCCTAAGAGAACTGCTTCTTCGGCTCTGCTCCCACATTTTGAGAGGATCTCTCTCACCCTCCCTTCCTCCCTGCTCCCTTTCTCTCCCCACCTCTTTTTTCCTCCTCCTCAGTCCTCCTCCCCAGTGGCCAGAGAAATACTATACGGTAGTTTCCCCTTATCCACTGGGGATATGTTCCAAGACCTCCAGTGGACGCTTAAAATCAAACCCTATATAGACTATGTTTTTCCTATATGTACATATCTATTATAAAGTTTAATTTATAAGTTAGGCACAGTAAGATATTAACAGTAACTAATAATAAAATAGAACAACTATCACAATATGCCAGTGTCACCACTGTTGTGCTTGGGGCCATTATTAAGTAAAATAAGGGTTACATGAACACAAGCCCTGTGATACCGCGACAGTCGATCAGACCATGGAGAGGGCTACTAAGTGACTAACAGGCAGGGACCCTGTACAGCCTGGAGAAGCTGGACAAAGGGATGACTCATGTCCTGAGCAGGACATAGCAGAACAGCATGAGATTGCATCACTCTACTCAGAAAGGCATACAATTTAAAACTTAAGAATTACTTATGGAGTTTTTCATTTAATATTTTTGGATTATGGTTGACTACAGGTAACTGAAACTGGGGAAAGGGAAACTTCAGTTAAGTGGGGACTACTGTACCTGGATTGGCTTAGACCTTGCTCATAGCCTCTATCTAAGCAGGGGTAAGAGGGAAGAGGGTTATATTCCCCAGAGGCATTTTAGATTGTGTTTTACCAGGAAAATGGAGGAATGAGAAGGAAGCCAAGAATTTCCTTTAGAACATTTTACCAAAATTCAGATTACTAATGGAAGGGTACAGTAAGTTTTATGATTCCTGTTATTCACATAAAGCTACTTTTCAAGAACATGTTACAATTAGCAGTACCACACCAAGGCACATCTTCAAGTTTGTGGTAGTTTCTTATGGCGACCCTAGGAAACTAAATCACCTTGCTATACCACATGATGTTTTCATTAGTCTTGTGATACTAATCTTACGTCATATTTGTTTGCTTTTCTAACTACTATTCTGTTGGAAAGCACATAATAAAATAGTTTAACTTTACTATTAAATTAGTCATCATTCAGAATAGCACCGTATTCAAAGCCTATTGTTCTACTTTCCTGTTTCATTTAATTTGTTTGGTTTATTTTTCTCAAAAGTAACGTACATTTCCCAAAATTCATTTAGATAATTTCTTATTTTTCTCTTTCTAGGTATGCTGCTATGAAGTCTCGGTTTGCTAGAGAAAATAGAATGCCCCACAAAGTCACTCACTCAATCAAAAGAATTCATCTCTGTCCAACTCCAAGTAAATCATTGAGTTCAGCCTCTTTATTTTGTTTTGTTTTTAGGACTAAAATATTATAATAATGAATTTAAATTTTTGTTCAGTTCAAATAAGTTTGAATCTATGAGGCCTAATTCTTGTGTTCTCTTTTTAAGGTTGCTTTATCTCTTTCTAACAAAATTAATTCAGTGAATTACTTACATAGGAATTAGAGCTTTGAAAATATTAAGTTACTTATACTTTCAAGATTACTACCCCTTAATAGGTTAATATACATTTTGACAATTTAAGGCTAAGTTTTAAAATATAAAAAAGCAGCCAAAACAGAGCACTAATATACTGAACCCTAAAACTCCTTGTGGATTTAGAGATATATGCAAAATGGCTGAAAAGAAAGGAGCAATGTTATCTTTTGTGCTCTTTCAAAAAATTAACATTTAAAAAAAAAAAAAAACAGTTTTAGTTGTTGGGATAGGTTGAGGATGAGTCCTGAGCAGGAAAAGAGAGCTAAGCAAATTAAAATGGAAGCTGACTAATATAGAGGGGAAAGTGTGACATTTGGGGTCAGAGAACTTGGGTTTAGATCCCAGTTCTATATAATTGTGGGGAGGTCACTTAACCTCTGAGGTTCAGTTTCTTCATCATCAGCTAGTACTGGGTACATAAAAGACATTCATCAAATATTACTTTCTAATGTCCTGCGCTATGTCACAGGATTCTTATGACTAAATGAGTCTATGAATGAAAACTTTCCTTGTAAACTGAAAAATACCATAAAGTATTAGTTATTATTTCCACTGTCACCTGTTCATTAAACATAACAGCACATCAACACAAGGCACAGGCAATAAACTTCATTCAGTGATTCTCGGAGGGCCCTGCTCCCATATCTCCAGCCTTCTTCTCCCTGGCTCAGTATCTACTTTTCTTCCTCCTGTCTGTTTTGATGGACCACTCAGATTTCCTCCTCTATTTTACTAGCCTGTCTTCTTCATTCAACTCTGCCTTCTTCCAGATTTCAGGGTACCTGCAAGACTGCTAAGAAATGTTGCCTTCTCCGTCCTTACTCTCTGCTTCCTCCATGATTTCTCTACTCCTCTCTGCAATCTCTCTCTTCCAACATCCCCACGATCTTCACCAGTGAAAGAGATCATTTGATTATGTGGATAATCACAACAATTTCTGTCCATGCTCTGTCAGATTGGTTTCAGTAGCTCACATGTGCTTATGTTTTTACCAGGTCTAAAATCTTTTAATTGTTTTCCATTTCCTTCAGGATAAGATTTAGATTCTTTGACATGAAAAGTCCTTAATGCTCTAATATCTGTCTGTCTTTTCAGTGACATCTCTTACCACTCTCCCTCTCACACACTAAAAGCCACACTGACCGAGTAGGTCATGATTGTTTATTTCTTACCTCATTTCAAAAAATTTGAAAGGTCTACTATGTTTTCTCATACCCCACTCCAAACACTCTTCCCTCCACTTCTTTACTGTCTAATACGTATGCATCCTTTGAGATTCAGTTCAGGTATTATCTTCTCTAGGACACTGTCTCTCTGTGTTATCATAGTACTTCTATCATGGCCAAATCATGCACTATTAGTTTTCTGTTGCTATGTATCAAATTATCACGCACTTAATGGTAGTTTCTGTATGCCTAGAGTCCAGAAATAGCTTAACAGGATCCTCTGTTTAGGATCTCATAAGGTTGTGATCAAGGCATCAGCCGGGCTGCACCCTCATCTGGAGGCTTGAATGGGGAAGACTCTTCTTTCAAGCTCAGTAAGGTTGTCAACAGAATCTGTTCTCTTCTGTTTTAGGACTGAGGGCCCTGGCTTCTTGCTGGGTGTAGGCTGGGGGCTGCCTTGTTTGTAGAGGCTGCCCTCAGTTCTTTGCCATGTGGGCTTTCCCAACACGGCCTCCTACCTCATCCAGCCAGAACAAGTCTGACAGCAAGATTGAATCATATGTAATGTAACGTAATCAGGGGAATGAGCTTCCCTCACCTTTATCATATTTTATTGGTTAGAAGAAAGTCACAGGTTCTACCCACACTCAAAAAGTAGAGGATTGCACAAAGATATGAACACCAGTCTGGAGGCATCCTGAGGGCCCACCTTACAGTCTGTCTGCCACAAATGCTGTGTTATCATTGTTTCCTTACTGACAGTCTCCTTTGATAAAAAGTGAGCTCCTTGAGGCAAGGGACTGCTTACCTCTCAGTCTACCACAGCATAGTGCTTGGCATATAGTGGCTAGTCAATGCTCATGAACAAATGAGTGAATGAATGATAGGATGAGGTAGAGTTGTCATGCTTTTAGCAGCCCTGTGATTTTGGAAAAGGGAAAATAAACCCATGGTAACTGGGAAAAAAGAACGGTAACCTGGAAGAGAGAACATTTTGAGGAATGTCCAGAAACTGGTTAGCTTTCCAGTGCTGAGTCTTGTCCTCGTTGAAAATAGGATTGACTATTCTTTCTGTCTACTCTGGAAGACACTGTACCTAAGAGGTTGTGGTAAATTAGATTATTGTTCAGACATATTCATTCCTGCTCCGCCTTCCCCCTTGACTTTGTGCTTTGCTCTGTGACTTGTTTTTATCAGTGGATTTACTTAAACTTTCAAGATTACTACCCCTTAATAGA